ATATATATATATATATATATTTGCACACAGATGTATATACACAAAGATTGAGCACACAAATTCACAGGTTTCTTGATAACCTTAGAATAGTTGTGGCCTTTTCAGTCAGCCGGAGCAGGTGAATAATTGCTGCTAGGCGGTTCTTAGTGTCACAATTTTCGGTTCAGTATTCAATAGTATGACTAAGTTTTTGAGAATAGATTAGCGACAGACAGTTAACTTTGAAGAATGCTGCAATTAAACGTTTTCAATGGTTTCTGGATAGTAAAAGAGGTGGTTGTGGTGGTGTTGCTGCTCCTGGTTGTGGTGATGATGGTAATGCTACCGTTGTTGTACTTGTTGCTGTTCTTGTCGTAACTGTTGCTGCCGTTGCGGCACCGAGTTTTCATCAAACTCTGAAAAAGCAACGGAATAAAGATGATCATCGGTTTTTATTTCAGTTTCATTAGGTTATTCATCTAATTCATCAACATCAATTCTGGATGTTATCCCGGCTATCGATAAAGAGCTTGCAAAAACAAATTGCGAGTGAACAAATCGTAACAACATAGATTTTTCCAGTAACATTCTTTTACAAAAATTTATGTTCGAAAACTAGTGATTTTTTTTTCAAAAAACTGATATGCATTTATTAACACAAGAGTCTACGTAAGAAAAATAGCTGTTAGAAGAAAATAAAAATTAACAGATTTAAGTGAATTTATTTAAACATTTAAATTTTATGAAAAATTTCATATATAAAACAAAAAAAGCATAAAAACAGTAAGCTAACAAATGTCAACAAACATCATTTCGTCAACATCAATTCTAGCCGTAAAAAACAAGCAACTCAGTATCTTCCTAAAAGAACAAAAAGAAATAAGAAACGAGGACAACCGCAACCTATAATAGATTCTTACTAGTTATTGTACCAGGCAGAAAGATATGTTCAAGTCAAAGATTATTTGGCGTAGTGAATGAAACCTTTTAAAAATGCGAAAGAGATTATCGTTTACTTAATTAGTGAGACAATTCTAAGGTTTGATGATGATGATGATGATAATAATAGTTACATTTTACACGAAATGAAATTATTGTTCTGTAGATTTGTGAGAAACAGCCTTCAATTAAGTGTTTTCTTTTTTCTGCTGGGGACGTGAATAAGGCACTTAAATTACTAATAATAAATGCTGAAGTAACATGTAATGTAACACAGGCCTTGCAAAGCACCGCGTACTGTGAAAAGAAAATGCATGAAGTAAAGAAACTTTATTTTGGTCTTTGAGAACTTAGCAAAAAAAAAGACTTCCGAGCTTTTAGAAACCTATCTGTAGTTCACACATCAAAGCTTTGATTGTGGAAGCAAACAAGAGGCTGATTCACCTTTTCTTTTTAAGTAACATGAGCTATAATCCTCTAAACCTGCTAAACCACGACAACTTTGAAAAAAAAAACTTGATTTTACATTTACAAGCTGGTTTTAAACCTCTCTGTGGCACCAAGACTTGTCTTAGCTGCAAAATCTTTGCAAGAAGAACAGGATAAGCGAATAGAGGTTACTTTTGCAGCAGAAATAGTTGAAGATAGTTTTGTTATCGTAAACTGTGTTGGGTTACTGTAAAGACAGAAGAATTTTTTTTTCTAGTCTTACAGTCTTTCCTGTTTTATAACTCCTGATCCCAGCTAAATGATATCTCTAGTTTTAAACGTGTCATAAAACAAAACGGTCCTGCAAATAATGCCTTTTCTCTAGAAAATTCAAAAGTGTTTTTTATCTATTTCAGGCAATACCTTATTTTTAAAAATACCCAGCAATCTGCAAATTCTTCGAATTTTATGTCGCATAACTCCGTGAGAAAATCACTTTTTCAGGTTCTTTTTTTAACCTTTTATATCTAGGCTTAGACCTCACTAGCCTTCAAAATTAAGTATATTACAAGATACCGATAAGGAAACATGTGTGAACCAGCATGGAACGGCTTGCATTTGTGCAAATAACTTTATCTTTTTTTAATTTTTTCTTTTTCGTAAACAGCATATATACATATATATTTGCCGTTCATGTAAAGAGAAAGAATCAAAGAAAAATTAAATTATTTGTACACATATAAGCAGCTAAATGCCAATATATATAATTTTTAACCTCCAATTTAGAAAAGCTGATGGTAGAACGACATTTGAGAATACAGTACGAAATAAACCCGCAGAGCACCAGTTTCTTCCCTAAATCGCACTTTTAAACAGGTTTAGTTGAGCTTTCTTCCTACTTGCACAATTTTTATCTCTCATCTTGTTTCTTCTTTTTCCTTTTTCATATGCTAAAATGTTGCGCTTTTTTTAGGCGAATACCATTCTGGAAAAGTGCGCTGTTTACTGCTTGAAATTTACGGCTTGAATCAGAAGAATAGCATACCGATAACTCGAACATTTCGTAAACAAATAAGTGAACTCATTTCTTTTTTACTTTCCATACACTGTGCGCTGGTTGCTAGCAAATATCTAAATGAGCAGTCAGATTTGAGAAAAGAAGTAGCCCATGTAAAAAGATGAAGGTACGTTAATCACCGGCGCGTCATAAGTCCCGACACCAACTTGCAATTTCCACACTAACGTTCTCAGGTGAAAGAAGTG